GGTTAACAGATTGGACACGATAACAGAATTCATCCATTTGCTGAATACAAGAAACACACTTCAATCTCAAAGACAGAGTAAAGGGTTGGGAAAAAAATTCCAATCAAATGGACCTAAGAAACAAGCTGGTGTAGCTGTCCTAATATCTAACAAAATATACTTCAAATGAAAATCAATCAAAAGAGAAAAAGAAGGGCATTTCATATTAGTCACAGGAAAAATCCATCAAGAGGAAATCTCAATACTGAACATTTATACCACAAATACAAGGGCACCCTAATATATAAAAGAAACATTTCTGAAGCTTAAATCATACATTGAACCCCACACACTTATAGTGGGAGACTTCAACACTCCACTCTTACACTCTTACCACTGGACAGGTCAGTCAGACAAAAAATTGAACAGAGAAATAAGGGAAATAACAGACACTATGACTCAAGTAGACTTAACAGACATCTATAGAACATTCCATCCAAACATAAAAGAGTATTCCCTCTACTTAGTACCTCATGGAACCTTCTCAAAAATTGACCACATACTAGGTAACAAAGCAAACCTCAAAAGACACAAAAAATTGGAATAATCCCGTATATCTTATTGGATCACCATGGCTTTAAATGAGAATTCAACAGCAACACTAAATACAGAAAGCCCACAAACACATGGAAATTAAACAATGCTCACTGGAGTTATCAATAAGTCAAGGAAGAAGTAAAGGGAGAAATTAAAGACTTCCTAAAATTCAATGAAAATGACCACACAACATACCCAAATTTATGGGACATGGTGAAACCTGTGTTAAGAGGAAAGTTCATAGCATTAAATGCCAACATAAAGAAGCTGGAAAAATCCCACTTTAGTGAATTAACAGTGTAGGTTTCTATATGAAGGATTAGGAGTCAACGGAGAATCACAGAATCTGTCATAAAGATCAGAGAAATCATCATGCTCAATTGGCCCCATATCACTATAACCCCCTACCAGTCCACCACTTGCGTGGTAATTCTTCAAGAAACTTAATGTTGTTTAGTGAAACTCACTGGTTTATCTTTCCATCCTCATTGTGGCAGATATTCTCTATTGACTGGTCAAACTCCAACTTCTCAGCCATAGGGCATGATTCCATAGCACAGTGTTAGCCATTAAGTTTTTGAAGAATTATTCTTTCTTAAGCACTATGTCCTCTCATGCCCATTCTTCCTGCCGGAGTATGCATTTCTGAGGAGATGCTAGGAAGCTGATAGTGCTGAACCACTGAATCTATTTCAGTACCTGCCTACTTCTGACCACCTCACTATAAGAGATCAATTGACCTCTCTTTGATAAACTTCTGATAAATGTATTGCAGTTTGGAACCGAAAAGCAAATTCAATAGATGTGGTTTATTTCATTGTTGATTTACTGTCATAAGGGAACAGTTGATTTTTTTACTTAATTTGTTTATATTTTCACACTTTATATGATGTGTTCTGATTACTCTGACTTCCTGACACCTCTTATCTACCTCCTGCCTCTGTCAACCATCTCTCTTCCCCGCAGTTCCCCCTTTCCATCTTCATTTATTTTTGTTTTGTTTGGAGAGCCAATAAATTTAATGAGGGCCATCTGTGTGACCTTGGACTTGGCATTCTCATTTAGAACCTGGTGGGCTCACCAGTGGTTTTTTTTTTTTTTTTTTTAATTTACCTATGTAATCAGAACAGGTTTCAGGCGTAGTCATTGTGTGCTGAGCTAAGTGCTTGGTGAGGTGATGGTGGACAGCTGCTGATGTGCATTCAATAAGGAGTCAACATTCTCAGAAAAAGCCAAACCCCGCAAACACTGAAACCTAGTGTCAGGAGATAAACACTAAAATAGCGTGGGGTTTTATGATTGACATAGAAGACTTCCTGAAGCAATTAGCATGGAAACTAAGACCTTGATAATGAGCAGAACATAAACACACAAAGACTGAAGAAAGTGTACCAGTCAGCAGGTAACAGAGAAAGCATAGCTAAAAGGAAGTGAAAATAGGTCACCATCAATTGTGTGAGGCCAGGTGGAGAAGGAGCCAAGTAGAGCAATCAATTAGGGTAGAATTTTAAGACAAGGCCAAATCTTACAACACAGACTGTGTTTAAAGCATAGACTGTGCTTTAAAATCAACAAATATGGGCTGGGTATGTAGCTTATGGGAAGAGTATATGCCTAGCATGCACAAGAATTTGTATTGCATTTTCAGAATGGAAAAAAAAAAGCAATGAATAAATTAGAAATGTCATTAAAATAGGGAGGCAAGTGAACTACAGGAATTCAATGAGTGAATAACAAACACCCCAGAGTCTACATGGAGAAGGGCTTAGAAAGGAGGAGGACTAGAAGTGAATCAATTATGGTTGTTTTCACAATTTAAACAAGACATCGTAGTAGAGGAGAAGAGACCGAGAAAGGAGACTGGCTTTGAAAGATATATAGATAGCAAATAGTTTTCCTAAAGCTTAACAATAATATTTGCAGAGGGAGGGATTGAGTGTGTCTCCTAGATTCCCAAAACAAACAGCGGAATGAGGTGCAGTGCTCGTTGGTTAGGAATCATAGGGGGAAATAGTTCCATTTGGAGAAAAAGCTCGGTGGAGGGGAAAGATGAGTTCAGTTTTGGATCTATTCAATTTTAAGTTCCCGTGGGAAATTAAAACAGAAAGTAAACAGTAGGACATACTGGTCAAAAATGGAAGAGTGTCTTCAGTTGAAAATATTGATTGGACATCATCATCATATGACTGAAAACACACAGATCGATACACATCATAAGTAGCTAGAGATAAAAGCAGGGAAGATACTTGAGACATTCATCAAAAGTAGCTTGGTGAACTGTAGATTGTGCATGGGCTGAGAATATAAACAGAGATGAAAACATTGAATTTGTTATTTACTCATTAGGAAAGTAATTTATTCCTCCCTAAGTAGGCAGTTTTTTTATTTTGTTTTTGAGACAGGGTTTCTCTGTGTAACATGCAGTCCTGAAACTTATTTTATAGACCAAGCTGGCTTCAGACTCACAGAAATCCACCTGACTCTGCCTCCTGAGTGCTGGATTAAAGGCATGTGCCACTACTGCCTGACCTAAGTAGGTAGGTTTTTGGGTTTGTTTTTGTTGTTGTTGTTGTTTTGTAGTTGTTGTTTTTGGAGAAGGAAGTTAGAGACAGGATTTCTCTGTAGCTTTGGAGCCTATCTTGGAACTAACTCTTGTAGACCACGCTGGCCTTAAACTCACAGATATCCTCCTGCTTCTGCCTCCCGAGGGCTGGGATTAAAGGCAAGCACCAGAACTGCCCAACGCAAGTGTGGAGTTTTGTAAGGAATGAAGCCTACAAACCAGAATCAAAAGCCATTTTCCCAAAGAATCCAAAGACTTTACTAATGTGAGGAAAGACCTGAGACAACTACAACATTATGGATCATGAAATTATGAAAAGAAGGGCCGATGAAAAATCACAGTGTAAATAGAATAGATCAACCCCCAAATCTCTAATTTTCTATCATGAGCAAGAAGCTTTCCTCCTCGTCCATTCATAGTTTATATCCCATAAATTCACCACATTACTACTTGATCTTAACTCCCTTACCCAAAGAAACTTCTGTTTGAGATCTTCTCTGTTTGACAAGCCTCAGTGTTTCCTGTGGAGATCTAATGGTTAACATTTTAGTACCAGTTAGTTTTATTTGTATACTTCTTTCTAAACCTACTATGTCCTGGTTAACAAAACAGTTACCACATCGGCACTTGCAGAAGACTGACCCTAGACCCTGTCCTGAGAAAAAAGAGGAACTAGGCCGAAGTTTTCTCCTAGTATTGGTCCCTTTTTCAAACGTGTTCTTTCTTCACTGGGGTCCTTTGGATAGGGTTTCAGTGTAACTTTTCAACTTTAGATTGAATCTTCTTTCTGGAATTCAGTGCTTTATTTCTATGGTCACGAGCTTAATCAAACTCCCTAGGAATTTTCACTTTCCATCCCTAGTTCAGGTTTGCATATAAATAGCTCATTACTCTTAAGACTTTTTTTCTCGTAGTTTAAAATCTATTTTATTTTTCCCCTCCATGCTAAGATTTTTCTCCAAATTAGAATTGCCTAACTGACTTTTCTGGTAATTCATGGGATTTACTTTTCTCTGTTATTCTGCTCCTCATTATACAGGTACAATTTTTTTTGCCTCTGTTTGCATGCACAATTAAAAATAAGAGCCCAACAATAATTAATCTATAGCCGCACACTCAAGGTAAAACTTGTGCAAAAAGAATCATTATTTACCAACTCCTTATTATATAATCTGCTTTAGCATGAGCGGTTGTGTCAAAGAAAGGGGACAGTTTTAGCCCTCATTGTCTTTAGACTCATTTGTGAGACAAATAAAAATAATTAATTATGAGATTCATGTTTTATTAATAGAGTAAGCATCAATGTAAAAAAAGCCCAACAGGGTTAAAATAATTGATAAGAAGATGGGACCTAATGTGAAGAGGTAGTACCTCTACGAGCAGTTAATTTTTGTTATTCTTTGCATATCAAGTCTTCGTTGGTAGCTGGCGAATCTAGTCATTGAGAGTTGCTTATTTCATCAATGGATCAACCACTCAGTTCAAAATTGGTTGGTATTATGGGAAGGAGGTTGAAGCATTCAAAGCTGGGGCCGAAGTGGAGGAAGCAGCTCACTTAACAAATGACCTCCAGAGGGAGCTTGACCCCAGCCACTTCCACTGCTCTTCTCTGGTTTGGTTTTTGATTAATTGCTTAGCTCCACCATTGTCTTTGTTATTGGGGGCAAATAATTTCATTTCACCAAATGCCAGTCCTTCTCCTCATTAAAACAGGACAGGAAAGCCAAGCTTTTGAGTTGAATTAGCATTTGTCATCTCGTATTATCCCCAACTGTAGTTTAACAGAGCAGTCCTGTCCAGGCGGGGTAACCGCTCCTTCATTACAGTTGACAAATTGTTTGAGATACAAAGTAGTTCTTACCTTTTATGAATATTTCCCCAGGAAGCATTGATATTCTCTGTTATCATGTGGACTTTTCTGGTATCATCTGCAGAATAGTCCCGAAGAAGTTTCAGTGCCAAATCATTCGCCATGTCCACTTTCACCTGCCATTGGCGGAGGTCTTTGGCCAACTGCTATAGGTGTGCATAGGAAAAAAAAATAATGTCACTTTTCATCCAGCGATATTCCTAGGTAGATACCTCTAAATATTTCATAAATAGTTACTGATTCTTCAGGTCACAGCATGTCTCCTCAAGTCACCTGTCACGTGGGTCAATCAGCTATCATGATGTAAATTAACATGCTTTCCATGATGAGATTTCAAATGCAGGATCTTAAGCATTCACTCCGTTCAGGTGCTTCAATTTAGTACCAATAAGTTGGTAATAAAACAAGCTTAGTTTTTTAATCATAGGAAAGAATAAATTATAAAAAGACTCATTTGTAATTGCTTAGAATGTGACATAGAACAAAATCATGTGGATGTTTCTGGTATCATCTGCAGAATAGTCCCAAAGAAGATCCAGAGCCAAATCATTCGCCACACATCTACCGTTATCTGCCACAAAACATGCATCTACTCCCTTCATTAACTTGTTGAATTGTTTATGTAATTAGTGCCATCTACTGGCATTTAACAAACTCTGCATACTGAAAACGCTGAACAAAAAGAGGACTGTTACCACACAGTTTCTGAAGGATTAAAATACTTTAAAGATCCTCTACTTTAATATTCGAATACAAGGCAAGATATAAAACTCTTTCTAAACCAAAAAAACTGAAGTGTTTTTCTTTGTTTGTTTTTGACAGTTGAGTGTAATCCAATCAGCCATTTCTTCATTGGAAAGAAGTCACCCAGGTCATGTACATATGGAAGCATATCAGGCTACCACTTCCACATGTTGGCGAGATCTATACATTAAGGTAGAATTAAAGTCTTAAGAAATTTATGCTTAATACAGTGTGGAGGGGGGAAGGTATAGGTGCAAGAATAGAGAAATATGAACAGGCAATGAAATGAAGTGGCAGAATAAAGTCATTTTATAAAAGAAAGAAACTTAACTTCCAAGTAATATAAATGTATTAAATCAAGAAGGTATAATTTGACGATAGTTAACCAAATTTCATATAGGGGAAGACTAGTGAAATCCTTACATTCTATTTTTGGAAACATAATATTATAAAAATTTGGCAATAAACACCAAGTGACCCACCCCATAATAGCACTTATTATTTTTACCCCAATAAAATATTCAAAAAGGTAAGTGTATTATAAGATTAAAAATTTCACCAAAAGACTAATTTTAATATTTACTCAAGATGATATTAGAAAATAACCAATAATGTGTATAATAATCATGGTAAAGAGAACATGATTGGTCTGAGGCTGTAACTCAGTGGTAGAGTTCTTGTTCAAGGCTCAGGACCAATCCCTAGTGCCTAAACAAACAACAAAGACAACCACGCTTTTCTTGCAGCAAAACAGAATGCATTTTTAAAAACTCAGTATGAACAGAAGAAAAATGATCATAGAAGTTTCTGAAAGTAAGAGACATTTTTTGGATTTGTGAGACATTTTTATTTAATATTTTTTGTTTTGTATTAGCATGATGTTTAAATGCACAAAAGAAAATATTGGTATTTTGGTATAATTCAATGCATTTGTTTGGACTTCTATCCCTCAGAAAGTTAGAATTTTTATGTCATCCACCATTTCTCACTTAATTAGAATATTCTATTTTGGAATCTGCTAAATTGTAGCACTTACTGTATAGAGCAAATAGATTCAGCTTATCAAGCTATTATTAAAATACTAAAGTGCTGTGAAAGCAGAAGAGAGGAAATAGAGTGAGGTAACAACAGAGAGAGGAAGAGAGGGACTCTCTTTTGGCACAGAACATGGTTGTTGGTAACACAAAACAACTGAAATCTATCCTTGTGACATGTCAGTCTTTCTTCAACACTTCTTTTACCAAGAATTGCTAAACTGATAAACAAGAAATAGTTCCTGTTTCTACTTCGCAGATCCCCATCGTAAGTACAAGCTGTGTGGATGTGAATTAATCCCACGAGTGCTTCTCTTTCTAAAAAAATTCCTAGAATACAAAATTTTCCTTTCATTTCTTATGTTTAAAAATATTGAAGGTCTTCAAGAATCTTGAGTATTAATTTTTATTTTAATGTTTGTCTTCTTTGACTTTATATATGTAATATATATATATATATATATATATATACACACACACATAAACATATGAAGTCAAGTTAAAGTGTGGATTATAGAATGTGCCTGCTGGGTAGCCCTGCTGAATTAATTGCTTAATAATTATAAGACAAAATGAAAAGCTATCCATGAGTCAGCTTTCTCCTTTGTTAAATGTGAATATTTTATCTACACTGAGAGAAGAGTATGTGGGAAAATGCCTGGAAGAAAACTTGTAAGAAAAATATCATGTAAAACAAAGCTCTCTGGCATAATCAAAGACTTAAATAAATACTACCTATCACTATAATTACTAATGCTATGATTACCATGACTGCTGTTAAAATCTCATGTACAGTCACAGTGAGAGTCCCTGCTGAATGCAAAAGAAATGGCTTCCTATTTTATAGGCATTGTACCGATACAACAGCTGGATATGTTCCTCTTTACCTTAGAAGATAAAAGAGAATGGATAGCTATAGAAATAAAATTGCAATATTATTAAAAAACTTTTCTTATATCAGTTGATTTGGGATACTTACCTACCAGTGAAATGAATACTTGTCCAAAGTGAACTTGCTTTTGGAAACTCTAAATGAATGTCTCAAAGGATTTTATGCTGTGAGGAACATCAAAAAGCTCCTTTCCAAGGAAGCCTTGTTTGCTTATTGTCTTACAGTTTTATCTTAAGGAATAGAATAACTTTGTATGTCTCTGTTTTATTTTTTCAAAAAGAGGATGGAGCTACTAACTGCCTGTGCATCAAGCATGCTGTGAGAAGTATGCAAAATCAAAATCAAAGTGTTCAGAAAATTAGAAAACAGGATCTTAATACTATGTACACAGCTCATAAGTCAATAATAATCAAATTAAAAATCCATAGGCTCTTAAAGGGTATGTATAGAGTAAGGGACTAGAGGGAACAGGTACATCTCTTTAGGAAAGGGAAATAAAATATGCAGATATGGATGGAAGTGGGGACAGAAATGAAGGGGTCAAGTAGGGAGGGAGAAGGAAGGTAGAGTTGTGGCAGGGAATACATAGGGGGACAGCTAAAATTAAGTGACATTTGAAGAGTAGTATGGAAACCCAAAACAGTCAAAACTCCCTAAAATATATACATACATGAAGGTGACCTCAATGAAACTGTCAAATAATTGGGAGAGACAGAATCCCAACTGCCATCTATTGTCACCAAATAAAGCTTCCAGTACCAGAAATTTGTTACATCTAATTGCATTGTTGGTCAAAGAGTCCCCATGGGAATTTCCAAACAAGATAGGCTGTTGCTAAGACTCTAAGTTGCTCTTCATAAACAGATGGGAAGGCTCTGTTGCTGAAGATAACACCCACAAAACTCAATGCATATGGATGTGTTGAATTGGTGCCAACATAGAGCCTTCACCACTATGTTACAGTGTCTTTGGTACAAAAAAAAATTTGGCACACTGTGTAAGGAGAAATGTAAGCACCAGCACCAAGACATCTTCAAAGCCTTTATCCACAATGGTGTACTACCTCCAAGATATGCTAAGGCAATGGTAACATAAAACTGGTGAGAGTGACCAACAAACAACTGGTTTGACTTAAGGCCCACTCTATGAGATGGAATCCATAACCATACATTCCTTAGTTGACTAAGAACCTGAAACTAAGTCAAGGGACTTAGGGTAAAACCAAATAATATCTGTCTAAAAACCAAATCAAAACAAGAGAACAATAAAAACCCCAAAACTCCTCTGGAAAAAAACAAAACAAAAAGGAGTAATAAAACGACTCCCTAAAGGGGTTCTGCTATACTCATAGATCAGAGTCTTGCTCAACCACCACCCTGTAGCCGATAAGAACAAACACAGAGACCCACAGCCATACAATATGCAGAGTGAGAATCCTTGAATCACCCAGTCGTAATTGGGGTGTCTTCATCAATGCCTTACTTTCAGAGCTTAGGGAAACCACTGAAGAAGAGGCAGAAAGATGGTAAGAGCCAAAAGGAATGAAGGACACCAAGAAAACAAGGCCCTCTCAATCACCATGAGCAGAGCTCATATGAACTCCCAGAGACTGTAGCAGAATGCACAGAGCCTTCATGGTCTTCCCCAGGTCCTTTGCATTTACATTATGACTTCCAGTTTAATGCTTGTATGGAATTGCTGAGTGTGTGAACGAGTGGATCTCTGATTCTTGCGCCTTTTCCTTGGCCCCTTCTACTGGTTTATCTTATCCAACTTTGATGTGATAGTTTTTGTTCTATCTTATTAAATATTATTTTGTCATATTTAGAAATGATTAAATACATGCATACATGAATGAAAACCTAGCTGCTAGACAAAAGGTTAACCCACAGAACTGTCATTTAAGCCTGTTTGTGAGAGGGAAAAAAATAAATATTCTTGAATATACAGAGTATGTGAACCAGGAGCAGTTGACCAACATACAATGGACTCCACAGTTTATTTTAGAGTGTTGCTTTATTGGTTTTGGTGTTATATTTTCTTTTTGTTTATTGAGAAACAACTTTAAGTTGGATGTGTAAGGAATGGGAGAGGATCTGGAAAGACTTGAGGGAGGGGAAAACACAATCAAAGTAAATTTGAATTTAAAAAATGTTCTATATAATAAAATATATAAAAAGCTTTTGGTTGTTGAATATTTGTCATTCTATCAGAATATTGTGTGCCTCTCTCTCTCTCTCTCTCTCTCTCTCTCTCTCTCTCTCTCTCTCTGTGTGTGTGTGTGTGTGTGTGTGTGTGTGTGTGTCTTGAACCAAGGGATTCATGGAAATTTTTGGTTCTATTAGCTAACGATCAAGAACTCATTATCTCTTAGATCTACCTTCTGTTCTTGCTCCACACAGTAATTTAGATGGAGTAACCCTGATAAGAAATCTGTTTTCCCAAGTTCCTTCTGTGCGCTGTTGTCTTGTTGGAT